AACTTTTCAGTGGAAAGGTGAGCTTACCTGTATATAAAAAGTTTATTTTTTCTTGAAATAGATCCTTTTCAGTTTCTGTGTTCCTGGGTTTGAACCTTGCCTTACAAAATGCACACCATAATGTAAGAGACTGAAAACTCAAGCTTCTTTAGATCCGAGTCCACCTATGTGCACAAAGTGCCATTATTGAGAAACTTTAAACAAAGTTTCACTGCTGTCCATTTCCTCTTTATATTGTTTTTGCTTTTTCAGTCATTCAGCTGTTTGTTGTGAATTCCTGCCCAGAGTCCCCCTGCAGAGCAGCACAAGGCCAGTGGTTCCTCCAGCTGTGATTTTTGCTTTTGCTTTCTGAAGCAGCAGCACCGGACCCTTCCTGCTCAGCCCTTGGCAGTGTCCACCCCCTCAAGGCCCTTTCTCTGCCCCTCCTGCTGTCACTGCCAGCACCAGGTGAGGCAGGGGACCACTGCTCACCAGCACTTTCTGAAGAAGATGCCAGTGCTGCTGGTGCCCTGTCCAGTCCAGGATCCTTTCTGTCTGCATCCGTGGACAAAACTTTAGTCACAACTTCATGGAAAACTAAGTGCAGCCATTTTGCATGGAGATTCTCTGATCTCAGCGCAAAACTGGGTTAGTTGAGGACAGTCACAGCGTGTGTCTGAGATGATACTCCATGGGAATACAAGGAACAAACACTGGCTGAAGCATAGGGAGTAGTGAGGACAATTCACACACCTTATCAGTGATTAGAGAMAGCTGCCTGCTTTGCTTGGCTGTGCCACCTGCAGCTGCCACCAAAGCTGCTATTAAATGTTTATCTCCTGAAGACTGCACAGCACTACCTCACACAGCAACAGAGGTGTGGGCTTTCTCCTCACTAGCTCTCTGGAACTCTCAAGGCCTCACTGCAATTTTTTCTCTTCAAGTAGCTTGATGTTAAGCTTAAACTTCCAAAAGCTTTTTCCTAAATTATTGCAGGTATGTGCTGAATGTGAGATCGGTGTAAAATTTTTGAGTTATTATATTAAAATTCTGAATTCATTTTAGTCACGTGCTAACATTAGATTAATTTGAAGTTACTTTGATTGATGGTGCTGTAGCTGTGATRTTTTCAGTTTAAACAAGATAAGGTTCACAGGGAGATGGTCTTTTTGATTGGACCTSAGAAAGATCTTGCCTGAATGAAAATTTGACTGTTAGTAAAAGCCTTTCCCTACTAAGCACCAGAAATGTATTTCATGAATCTTTGAAGAGGCCTTGAATATTGCAGAATCCTGCCAGTGTACACTMTGGAATGGCTGTAACTTCTCAGCTTTACTGGTTTTTATGTAGATTTCTGATATCTGACAACTCGGATTTTAAGGTTTTGGAAGTAAAATGCCATTCTTCTGCTTACTGTTCTTTTGGAAAATTATTCTTCCATTACATCACTGAATGAACTGGATGCTGACCATGCTAATCAGAGTGTATTTTTGCAAAGGCAGCAGTTGTTAAGGGAAGACACTGATCTGTACTCCCTAACACTGGTTATAGGGACTCTCCAGTCTTGTTAAGCTTTTGCTAAATATCCAATTCTTTTATGAAGTGAAACTCAGTCAGAAAGGCTGAATGACTGAAGTCTCCTAGCTATTGGCTTGACTTCAGTTGAGATGAAGAACTAATGCTTTGAACACCATTCATATTTCCCGTTCAAAGAGTTCTTTTTTTCTTGTGCAGGAGTTTGAATAAGCCCATCTGGAAGCCAGTTCTGCAGACTATTTTCAGAGCAGAAAACAGTACTGGTAAAGACTATGATTAATTTTTTTTTCTTTTATCATGTCATAGTTCTATTCTATAGAAAACTGATTTAAATTATATGCTAGCATGTTTATACCATGGAAAGAAACAAACAGGTGACACCCACTTCTGCAGAACACAACTGGAGTTCTMTAAACATTTCCTCTAAGTATTCTTTGTAAATGAAGTGACTCAGCTAAGTAGGAGAAAAACACTATTCTCACAGCCTGCAGGCTCCGTAGCAGAGATGTGTGGTGAGTGACAGGAACTGAGTAAGTTTGCATGCTGATGGGAGCAATGAAATAATTTCTCATGCTCAGACTGGCTTGACAAGCTGAGGTTTCCCCACTCTCTGAGAGGATGCTGTTTTTCTTCTCCACACACTGGGTGCAGCTGGCAGCTCCTGGCAGCTGCAGGAAAGCTYTTGCCATAATCCTCTACTGATTCCACTTAGCAAAAGCTTATATGGGATGTAGCATCTGTATTGGGTTCTTCTTCTTTAAAATGAGCACTGGGAGGGTGCCTTACTAATACTTTACTTGATAGTATTTGCCACAAGTTATCGTATCTTAGAGTGACTCCATGCAGTTTTGGCTGGATGACACTAAGGGAGAGGCCAGACTCTTCTTCTTGTTGTGAGTAGTGGAATTCTGATGTCAAGGTCACTCACATTTACCTGCCCTGTCCAAGTCAYATCTAAAATGCCACTTATTCAAAACTACCTGCTAACTAAAACTTTGGCAGGTTGCACCTAGAGTTTTCCTGTTTCAGCAGATGAGTTTGCTGGCTCCAGGTCTCTTGAAATTCCTGGTCGAACACAATTTAGTATCCATCTGCCAGATTGYTCAGCCCCAAAGCATAAATTACAAGTCACTGATCTCACGTTAGGCATGCAAATATGACTGACTTCCAACCCATTAATTCCAACCCATTGATCCATTAATTTCAAATCATTAATTAAATCCAGTGATGATGAGATATAATCTAAAAAAAAGTTTTGAAAGATGAAGATGTTTTCCCAGACTTCAGTCAGCATGTCCACATCATGTCTTTTACACAGGACAAAACAAATACCAGGAACAACTGAATTTTATATTCTTGTGTTTGTGTCATATAGTTCTGTGTGCAGTATAAGAAAATAAGTCTAAATTAGTACAGACCTCTTAAAGGTCAAACCTGATAGTGCTGTATGCTAGAAGTTGTCCTTCGGTGAAGGACATGTGAAGTTTCATATGAATACTAGGGAAAGGAAGCCAGTCTCAGACTCTTTACTTACAGAGTAATGCATTATTGCAAAGGATTGTTTTCACAGCTTTCTTCTGTGATGCTGAGCCCCCATGTGCTGCTGAAGGCAGATATGAAAGACTCAATCATATCCCTTTGCAGTTTACTCTGTGACTGGAGGCACCCAGYGTTGCTGGAGATGCCAGAACAGATCAAGTATTGGCCTGTCCCAATCACAGTTAAATCCCCTGAGCTTCTGGGCTGCCACAGACAAGTTTTTTGGTTTTTTTTTCAGTATCTGTTTTATGGACATTTGTAGGTCATTCAGACATAGCCATTATGATCCATGTATTTTTCAGCTCCACACTTTGTCRCTTTTCCTGCATCCAGCTGGGGAGTTCCCAGGTATCCCAGTTTCTAAAGCACATGCTAACAAAATACTAACAATAAATTTTTTTAAAGTCATTGTTACTTGTATTCTAAATCTTAGGGGAAAAGAAATTAAACTTTGTTTGAAATCCAGTTAGTAACTTCTCAGTACTAGGAAAGAGAAACAGAAGTAAAATTGAAGAACCTGTTCTGTACACACTGGCCAATGGATTGGAAAGGAAATATTTCTTAAAACTCTTTCGAGTAGGATGAAAGGCTGTAAAAGATCAGACTTCATGGCAAAGGAAAAGAAGGACTTTTCTGCTTGTGTAATATCAGCCTTTTGCCAAAATCAGGGAGAGAAGCACAGAATTGCTTCCATTTTAAGTAGTACTGTCAGTGGGAGCATGAAAAGGTCTGAGCTGAACAGAAAAWTTCAAGTTGCTGTTTCTTTGGAAATCTCTTTTCACTGAAATCTGGGGTCAAATTCTTTTCTAAGCTCTCTTGGCACCATACCAACAAAACAGTGCCAGTGTAATTGAGGGAGCCCTTATAATTGAGGGAGCCCTGACTCCTGCTGTGCTCTGCACTGTGTTATCTAGGTGTAGTTTGACCCACACCGTGACCATCTCATTTGCATGTCAGCATAAAGAATAATGTCCTTGAYGATTCCTTTGAAGTGAGGTGCATAYTGTAGTAGCAGGCAGAAGATTGATTCCTTCTTTTTTTAATCCGTGCAAACCACAACTCTTTCATCCAGCATGCTCTCAGAAAATCTGCTCATGTTTAATCCAGTGRAATTTACGGCCTGGCAGCCACCAAAGCAGTGCCTTTTCCAACTGTGTGCTGAGCTTCCTGTGCTACCCTTAAATCAGAGGAGGATCCCTGTGGGGTCACCTCGAGAACATTCTGTTGAGGCATCAGACATTTTCTCTGCAGCTGCAGAATKTGTCTCTGTGCTGAGCTGCACCAGGTCTTGGGTAAGAGCTTTGCARGTAATTCAGTTAACTTTGCATTTTACTGAAAGACAAAGATTTTCTAGCTTAGAAAAACAAATCCATTTCWTGATGCAGGTTGCCAGTGCTTCTGCCCTTCTTATAACAGTTTCTTGAAGGCAAATCTTTTAAAAGGGACCTTTTAGTGTCTCCTTAAGATTACACTCTTSTAGGGGTCTTGCCTTGATCTGTAGATTTAATGGCTTAATAAGCATTAGACCCTTCTATTATGCAGTAACAAATAGGAATACAATACTTTTATCAATATTTGGCACAATTAATTTTTTTTATGTGAAACTAAATATTGATGCTGTCAAGTGACTACAGCTTAGGGGCATAAATTACAAATATTCTCCTGTGAGCCTCACTCAAATCTTGCATTCATATACAGTAACCATCTAATGTCTTTCTATTCCTGTAAGCCATATGATTTGATTGCCAGATTACATGGTTCTGTATTGTGCTTAGATGTCACTGTTTTTATTGTTATTACCAATATTATGTTTTAGTCTTACTGTAAGTGRTAACAAAAAGTTAACTGCTTCCTTACACTATAAAAAGAATACMGTGCCATTTACAGAATGTCTCTAAACAGAAAATATCTCTGGGAAAAAAAATACTGAWTAAATAATTCACATGATGGGTGAGTAGAAAAAAAAAGGTATTTTGACATATTTTGCTACTCAAGACAAAACCAGATTTTTTWAAATAATGTAACTGCCTATTTTTATGCAGAAAAAAAATCTAAAGAAGAATAATTGCGGGGGAGTCTGTAATTTTACCCATTCTGCACTTTTGTAGGTAACAGGACTTGTGAAAGTGATGAACCCATCCCCTTGGTTTTCCTGAAACTTCTTTGTTCCATGCTCCTGTTTTTTCATTAGATTCTCAGCTTATTTTCTAAATGAAATGTTAACCCACCCACTCAGAAAAAAAAAAACCGTAATATTTCAAGAATTTCAGACTGCAGGAAAGCCAATTAGACTGTCTGTAATAAAAATAAATTCGTAAAGGCCTTGGAATTAAAGTCTCCCATATTAAAACTGCCCATGCTGTCAACGCATCCCTGGGAAAATCAGCATGTGCATTTTCCTGTTTTTTCAGGAAACCGGAGGAGCTCCATCAAGCCGGGATTAAACACCAAGCGACCCCTTCTCGCTAAGCAATGTGTGAGCCCCGCGCTGGCTCCAGCAGCGCAGCCCCGGCCCTGCAGGGCTGAGCAACCGCCAGCAGCACCTGCAGCTCGCACMGAACCACCGAGGCACATCGCACACGGGCTTCTGCACGTGAACAGCCCGACCCTGAATGAAATCAGGTAAATGAGGGCCAGCCAGGCTCTGGGGCTCTGATCCAGGCGAGGGGCGGTGGCTCGGGGGGCTGGCGCACGATGCAGCCGCTGGACAGCCGAGCGCGATGGGGTGAGTGAACCGGCTGGGGGGTGAACTGCGCCCTGCACCGATGGGGTGGGTGAACCGGCTGGGGG